CCACCACGTCATCAACACATACCACTCCGTACTCTCTCCTCATTCTCTCTCTCTCTCTCTCTCTATCCCTCTCAATTCCTCTTTAGTTGTAGAGTAACTGTATATCAACTCATGTTCTCTTTATTCAAGTGTTTTCATCGCATTCTCTCTCATATCTCACTATTTGCTAAAAACTATAGTCTAAGCGAAACTTTTATGCAACTCAACAAAAAAAGCTAAACAAAGAAAAAGTATCTTCACTTATGTTATGAAATGACATTATATTCTTAAGAAATAGTCTCACACTTGATGTTAATATTGTTAATAATTAATCGCATTATTAATGCTATCATAAGACTAATTGCAAATAAAACAATTAAACGATATATTAATTGACGTAATCATTAGGACCTTAAATATAAGATATTAACAATGTCATTCACTTCATCTCTCTCTCTCTCTCTCTCTCTCTCTCTCTCAGATTGAACGTTTTATTAAAATATTTATTATAAATAATATGTTATGAGTATTATAAATATAAGTGAATTTTATTTTTATCATTTATCAATGGCTTTGATTTTAACTCTAATAGCAATATATTGAGAAAATTGATGTTAAAGACAAACATATTTGTATTGAGTGTAAGAATCCAAGGCATCCAATACTGTATCTGTAAAACTCATTCAAATGTCAATATAGAGTCAAATGAATCAAACGGACTGAACAACACTGAGTACTGTTTTATTTATACAATTGCCAAATGACTGAATGAATGAATTGTATTATTGAAACAATTTTTATTTCATATTTCAATAAAAATTTGTCGTGCCTTTTAATACTGTATAAGCTATAATACACAATGAGATAACAAATACCGGGGACAGAGAGCACAGGGCAGGGCATCATTGAGTGGTTTCTATCAGCTGTACTTTCAGGTATTGCACACTATATTTATTTTTTGTTTTGATTGTTTGAAAGCAATATTAATTGACGTAATCATTAGGACCTTAAATATAAGATATTAACAATGTCATTCACTTCATCTCTCTCTCTCTCTCTCTCTCTCTCTCTCTCTCTCCCTCAGATTGAAAGTTTTATTAAAATATGTATTATAAATAATATGTTATGAGTATTATAAATATAAGTGAATTTTATTTTTATCATTTATCAATGGCTTTGATTTTAACTCTAATGATAGCAATATATTGAGAAAATTGATGTCAAAGACAAACATATTTGTATTGAGTGTAAGAATCCAAGGCATCCAATACTGTATTTGTAAAACTCATTCAAATGTCAATATAGAGTCAAATGAATCAAACGGACTGAACAACACTTGAGTACTGTTTTATTTATACAATTGCCAAATAACTGAATGAATGAATTGTATTATTAAAACAATTTTTATTTAATATTTCAATGAAAATTTCTCGTGCCTTTTAATACAGTATAAGTACACAATGAGATAACAAATACCGGGGACAGAGAGCACAGGGCAGGGCATCATTGAGTGGTTTCTATCAGCTGTACTTTCAGGTATTGCACACTATATTTATTTTTTGTTTTGATTGTTTGAAAGCACTTATCTATGTGTTGTGCTATAGACTGACTGTATGTGTGTGTGTGCTGTGGATGTGGTGGTGAGCATGACTGCCGTGAATCGCACTCTACATCACAATTATTTATCGATTTGAGGATCAAATTTATTGGAAATTCGTCTGCTTTTGGAGAATTACATGTGAGAGTGATGTGTGAAATATTGAGACCAAACAAACCAAAACACGACCACCTCTTTGGCCGCCGTCGCTCACTATGCAGACCAGTGTTGCGGCAAATGGTGGCCAAAGAGGTGTAGTTGTGTTTTGTGGCACTTGAATGAGAGGACATTTTGTGTTCAGCTTCTCCTCATAGGCTTAAGCACTGCAGAGAAAACACATATCCAAGCGATGAACGTGTAGTCGGAAAGAGATGTTTGCAATGCATTTGGAAAGAGAGAAAGAGAGGGATAGAGTGATAGAGAGGGAGAGAATGAGGAGAGAGTACGGAGTGGTATGTGTTGTGACGGTAGGCATGCGTTGATGGGTTAGGGAATGAGAGGCATCGGTGGAGCGGTTGGAATGGCATCGTATGGTGTGGTATGAGCTGTTAGAACACATGTCTGGGCTGTTGGTGTGCTCTTGCGTTGGGAGGCTGTCCTCCTCCCAGCATTGAGTTGAACCAATTGTGATCGGTTATGGAGTAAAATGGCTCCTGGTTACTGGTATGGTTACTGGTAGTGGTTACTACAATACCAGGTTGTGTTAGTTCCCATCGCATCGATAGATTGTCTTTTGTTGGAAACCCTTTCCGATCGTTAAATCTAATCGACAGAGAAGTAGAGGAGTGTTAAGGAGTGTCTGTAGTGAGCGTTCGATGCATTTTGATTGCCATTGAAAGCGAAGTGAAAACCACTGAAACTGTTTTGCGATCGAAACGATCGAAAGGACTGAATCGCGCAAATGATGGAAAACATGGGCTCAGAGTTGGCCGACCAGCAAATGGGCGGTGGCAGCAGTCATGCCAGCGCTGATGACAACCACAGTGAGTCTAGTGGTGTCCCAACAGTTGATAACATCGATGCTGTCGAGTCAGTCGACAGTGTAGGCAGTGGTGTCGATCCGCCAGAGCTATTGCCGGCCCATGAGATCGCTGACGAAATCGCCGCCACCAGAGCTGACTCAACCGATGCCGACGTCGACGATATAGACGAAGACGGAGACAATTGCGAACCAGACGTTTCAGACGAGGTTACAGTTGCCGAGTCGACCGGTATGATCGACGCCAGTGACTTTCGGGGTGTGCTCTCGGAGCCCACCTATCAGACACTCAACGGCAGAATGACTCCCCCGGGGTTCACAACGTCCAGCTCTTACGCCACACTTACGCCACTGCAGCCGTTGCCACCCATCTCGACCATGTCCGACAAGTTTACCCACCATTACGGCCATCCCGGCAACGGTGGCTTCACTCTCATGCATATGCAAAACGCCAGTCTCGGTATGAATGCTAATCAGTATCAATACGACAAGTTAGGCACCGCTATGGCAGCGGCCGGTATGAACATGTCAAACATGTCACCCACTCTCGGTGTTGCCACAGGACACCATCACCACCACCACCACCACCACGTCATCAACACCAACGGCAACATTCACTCTCATTCGTCGGCCATTCCGTCGCCGCCATACCATTCAAATGGATTACATTCGCCGGACAAGAGTCTGTCGCCGACCAATGGCTACGACTACACGTTAAGACAGGGCTCGCCTCAGTCGCCCTCATCTGTTAATTTACATTCGCCGACATCATTAATGCCAGCCCTGAACGGTCTGCCAACGAGTCCGCCGTCGAGTCACATCCCGTCGCCACCGCCCGCACAGGTGTCGCAAATGAGTTCAGTTCCCATAACAGTAAGTGGTGTCCTTACTTCGGTCACTGCACCCCAACAGTTCACTCACAACACCCAACACCTCAAAGTGGCCACCACTCTGACCGCTGCACCGCAACCAATCACTGTCTTACAAGCAGTCACTCCGACCCCCGCAGCCATTGCACCGACCGGTCAGACGGTTACTATAGTACAGGCGGCCACCTCTGGCATTAGCCACTTAGCCCAAGCTATTGTCTCCACACCTGTCGCTGTTGTCACCACTGCTAACGCTCTTCACCAACAGCAGCAACAACTCAATCAAATCAAACAACAACACCAACACATCGTCACCATTGGCGGCGCCAACGGCTCAAAGCACGCCAACAGTCAGACCAACCAACAAGTCATTCAGACCCAAACGCAGACCTCGTCCTCGGCATCCAATAACGGCGCCGACGATATCGAAGAAATCAATACCAAAGATCTCGCACAACGGATTAGTGCCGAACTCAAGCGATACTCTATACCTCAGGCCATCTTCGCTCAGAGGGTGTTGTGTCGATCGCAGGGAACTCTGTCTGATCTGCTCCGTAACCCTAAGCCGTGGAGCAAACTTAAGTCCGGACGCGAGACCTTCAGACGGATGCAGAAGTGGTTGGAAGAGCCGGAGTTCCAGCGGATGTCGGCTCTCAGACTTGCAGGTAAGGCACCGCCACTTAACCACACATTATATCCATTACAACCTTATATTCATTTTGCACTTTTTGTTATTCATTTTATTAATTATGCAATACATTCAATAGTGTACTATAATTGTTGTACTATTAGTATAGTATAGCAATAGTCTATTGTCTACTTATATAACAGCGATATTTTAGTCATCAATTTATTTGCCTATAAATTGTCGCAATTATAGCATTGAATTGTTTCTCTTTAAACCTATTGTTTTTAAATCACTTTATATTTTGATTTTTGTTGTAAATTTGTTATATTTTTATTATTTATATTTGATTTGTGACTGATTTTTATTGTAAATCTTTATTTATTTCAATCACTTGTTATTTGTTTTTATCATTAAATTTTTATTTTATACACACTTTTAATTTGTTCACTTGTTATCTATATTTAAAATTATTTATTGTTTTTTATATTAAAATTGTATGTAATAAATATTATTTTTAATTTATTTATTTTTATATATGTTTTCATTTTTATCCATTATATCATTGCATTTGCATTAAATTTAAAATGTATTTTCCATTATACGATAAACAGAGACATTAATGCAAAGTTATGGTACATTAAGTTGGGTTTTGAATAATTTTCCTTTTCATCCTTCCCTTCAAACAGTCGCTTACATTTTGCGAACTCTACGAGTTAGCACAAAACCTCAACTAAAAGCACCTGACAATTGAACACTCATTTAGGGTTTGAAAATTATCCCGCAATATATGCCTGCGATGAGAGCGTATTGAACATTGCATTTAGCAGTTCATCAAAAGCCATGTACTGTATAAGAGAAAAGGGTATTTTGAGTAACAAATTAAATCAAATGTTGTATTCAAAACTCTACATAAAGCTATACACTATGACTGCCGACTATTTTTCTACAATATTTATGTTTTCAATTCATTCTCTCTATTGTCTGTCAATTCAATTCTCAGTCGATTTGTTTGTAATTTTTTATATAAGACTTTTATGATTGAATGATTGATTTGTTTACAATATGTATGCATTGAATGGATTTTTGATATAAAAAAGAGCACTTGTGTATTGAAATACAACAAAAATGACATTTTTCTTCATTATTCTCTCTCTAAACAACAAAACCTTCGATACATTTAATAATTTATTTCTATTTCCTTTAGTATTGTTTTCAAAATAATAGTAAGAATTTTGTGTAATTATTTCTCCCGAAATAATCTGGAAATGAATTTAACAGAATTAATGAACACTTATTTTCTGTCATAATATAATTAGGAAAATAATAATTACAAAAACAATTTCATTAAAACAAAAACATTTATAATCCTTATTCAATGGGATTATAATTGAGTCAAAATAATAGGACTTTTTATTATATTCTAACAAAAAATCAGAAAAAAATTTCTTGTTTTATCGTTAATGAGATAATAAGCGATAGAATTGTATAAATGAATTGAAATCACTAATGATTTTTAGGTATTGAAATAATAATCATATAAATGCATAATACATAACAATATATAAAACTTACGTAAAATGTTATAAACAAATTGATTTCTCACTCCAATAACCTTGAAATCTATAGTTTTCTTTATTTTTCAAATTGATTATTGAATTTACTTTATTATTATTGCCGTATATTTGACAATATTTGACACTTTTATTGAGTTGAAAAATATTCAAATGGTTTTTATAGTGTAAGATTTTTATATACGATAATATATTTTTACACCATTATATACATGTATATATTTTTATGTCATTATTAACACCGGTATAAAGTATTTCGATTGAATTAAGTCTCGTCGCTATAATTTCAAATATGCCCTCAATTATAGCAAATGAATGAATTCAATGAACTTTCAAAATGTATATTAAGAAAGAAAAAACTTTTCCTTATTATCGATCTGTTTGTGAAAAAGTTTTTTATTTAACATTAAGAATAACGTGAAAATATTAATCGCATATTAAATCATAATAAAGTTATAGTAAAATAAATAGTAATGAAAAATTATTTCTCATTTTATAATCAAAACGTTAATTATTAATACAGTATTATTCAATATTTCATCGATAGTCATAACAAAACATATATAAAATAAAACACTTGATATTTCTAACAAATAAATTATTTGACACAAAAATAAGAGATTTTGTATAAAGAAAATGTTAATTATAAAAGTTATTACGAGTGGAGCTATTATTTTAATGGAGACATCAATTCTTGTGATTCATTAGAGAACTAACTATAAGAAAATAAATGTAATTATTGTTTGTAATAGTGTTGTGACACTTGTATACTGTTTAATGTGATGGGAGTTAGACTTAATATGGCATCTATTGCCTCGTAATCTCATCCCTAGTTTTGTTACTTAAACCGCATTCGTCTTCAATTCAAATGCAATGCATTTTTGCTGAGCTTTCGTTTAATCAAAAATAGTTCTCTACTTTATATGAGTGAATGAGATATCATTGCAAATATGAAATAAGTGGCGAATATTGTAGTGAAAGGTTATATATTGAAAAGGCATGAAAAGGTGAATTGAGAAGAGGCTATAGTGGTTGAGAGTGGAGAGCAGATCCCAATAGAGTGGCAAAAGTACCCTCAGAGGGATCTCCAAGAGATAACTCCCGATGTGTTGTATCGTCTAATATAGTCGAACGGAAAGCAATGCATTTCAATATTCACTGCAAACCGTTTGTCTGTACTCTCGGTCTATGTGTTGGTGTTGTCATAGAGATATCAACTCCAGAATAAGAGCCTCAGAGCCTCACCCATTCATTCACCACTATATCGTGTGTTTGGACTCCTATTTAGATATCCCTTCAATTTTATGCCCACTTCTCTATGAATTCCCCCCTTTTTTCTTTCGAAAAAATGAGTCACAAATAGAGAGAGAGAGAGAGAGAGAGAGAGCTGACAGAAAAGTGAGAAGCGATAGTGTTTTCTTTACTAATTTGGTACAGAATTGTTGGTCTGTACTGCACTGTCCGCAGGGCTTACGGCTGTATAACTCTGGCAAATGAAGGAATACGGCGAACAGTGTTAGCGAACCGACACAACTGCTATCATATACACAATTAGCATTTTTTTAGTTAGTCTTTACTCTAATCGTCGCTTTAGTGGAAATTGTGTCTCAAAAATAGAAATGTTTGATCAAATGTATAGAAATGCTTATTAAAAGACTAATAATATCGAAAATTACTGACGAAAGGAGTGTTGAGAAATAGATATAAATTACAACACATCTCATGTATTAATGCAACAATAAATTAGTATTAGAGGCAATGGATGAACACTAGAGCGCACAAACTTTGAAGGATTGAGAGAGAGAGAGAGAGAGAGTTTGACTTAAGTGATATCTCATTTGCTATTAATTTAAAGTCTCTTACCATTTGAAGAGAGTTTTAATAGTAAATAATGGCTGACTTGAGAGCTTAAACTTCGACCTGAAAAGAGAGAGAGAGAGAGAGAGAGAGTTTGACTTAAGTGCTGACATGGCATTCATGGCATTACTTCTTGGAATGAGATGACAATATGAGAAATTCAACCAAAAGAGCGATTAGTTATGTTTATATATATTATAAGACACTCTCACTTGGAGTTGACATTTAAATATTGGAAATATTAGTCGACATCTCAGTCGAGATGATCGCCAGAGCGTTACAAACAGTGAACACACTTTTTCCATGAGTTACGCAACCTTTCGATACCAAAAACTACTGAACAGTTATATAAATTCACTTATATTTCTTGTGCTGAAAATTATTATAACTATAATATAATATATGTGTGAATATACAGAATATTCCGCTCTTTCCCTAAATATATTTGCATTATATTCAGGGAGTGATAGGCGTGTCGTTCAGCTCTCATTTCTTTTGCAACGTTTCAAACAATACATTTACCACTGATTTTCAAAAGAGTGTATATTAAACAATATAGACATACATTTGATTTAAATATCTATAAATTGATTCCGAAATTAGTGCTCATTTAAAAACATTTATTATGAATTTTTTAAATTTATTTTATATTTTTTGTTATAAGTTATGGGAATAGTATTTTGAACGTTTGAAAAAGTAGTTATAATAATTTATAATATTTATTTATTAGTCATAATAAAATAAAGTAGAAATGATGTTGAGTTTGTCGGAAGACATACATTAGTAACCATTGCTTTGTCTCATACAAAGATGTCTACTTCTAGTGAGGCATACGTGAGCTCTTTTAAAGAGATTGAAAGCAATTCTCAAAGTTTTTTATTGAAGAGATTACGAGAAGACATACAAAGTATTAAACTTATGTTTACACAAATAATTCTCTGCTGTATATGCGTTAAAGTTAACAGCAATCAAGTCGTGCCCAACAAATATTTTCAATTGAAAAATAATCTCTTTATAGAAACTGATATAAGACTCAGTAATTGAAATTTTGTGAGCAATCAAAACGGTTGCTATTAATATACTTTCCGATTCTTACATAATCTTTACTTGAATTGCAATTTTAGGATTGAATTAGAATTTATTGGAACCGATCCTTAGAATTAATCCAAAAAAATATTTACCAAAATAATGGCATAAGAATTGGAAACACAATTCATTTCATAACAGATTTATTCTAAAATAAATAATTGAAAGAAATGGGAATTGGGATAAAAGGATTCTGTAGTAGAAACTCTATTTTCAATACACTGTATGTATTGTATAACAGATTGAATGTAAATGTGTTTTTATATTTTGATTCATGTGTAAAAGCGGGGGGCGATTGGAAAGTGGTCTTATAATTGACAATATTGTATGAAATGCAAAACATTTAACAATTTAGAGGTAAACCATTGGATGAGAAAGTGGTCTGAATATCGCGAACTGTCGTCTATTCACACACAGCTTGAGCTCATGCTATAGTCAGTGGCAATGAGAGTGAGTGAGTGAGAGAGGGAGGGATAGAGAGAGAGAGAGAGTATGCTATGGAGTGGCACTTCGGCTCCCAGTTATCTATTTTTGCTGTTTTGGTCAGACTTTAGTGTTTCCTTTGGAGTTAATAGCGAAAGCAAAGGGCATTAAAAGCGAAAACTGTTAGTTTGACTATATTTTAGAGAAGAGGAGAACAGCGGGAAAGCGAGTA